CACACACACACACACACACTCACACACACACACACACACACAGATTTAATTGATTTCTTTCATAAATTGCAGTAACTGCTCTAAAATATGAGACACCAGGAGTTTAGTACACATGCTTATTTGATAACTGTTTTATTGCCTGTATATGGGTTTATGTATATGCTTAATTTTTTAAGATGAACTGTTTTTTCCAAGGCATTGTTAGATGCCAGTGTTTCCAGTCATCCTGTATAAAGCTATTAAACTATATCTTGTGTGTGTGTGTGAGTGTGTGTCTGTGAGTGTGTGTCTGTGTGTGTGTGTGTGTGTGTGAGTGTGTGTGTGTGAGAGGGAGTGTGTGAATCCAATGAGTCCTCCAGAGGGTCTCATCCTCTAAATACACTCGTGCTTCAACTAATGAAAGAAACTCAAGCTGAGTCTGACTCCAATCAGAACCCCAACATTCATAAAGACATTGACAAAAATCTGAAGTATAATTATAATGAAAAATTTAAAAAACGAATTTGACCTCCAAACCAAACTCCAGTGTTATTCGGCCCTAAATAGAACCACCAAATTGGCAAATTACTTATCAATCAAACAATTAAAAGAAAGACAAATCCTTTCAAAATATCGACTCCGCGACCACGACTTAGAAATAGAGAAAGGAAGATATAAGAAATCCTGGAAACCGAGAGAACAGCGGCTATGCAAGCACTGTGACTTAAACAGAGGATGAGAAACACTTTCTTCTCTTCTGCCCCAAATACACCACTACAAGACAAATATTCAAATAATACAAAATTGAATTAAAAATTCAAAAGTATGTAAAATAACGCAAAATCCACTAATCTCACTAATTGTAATTTCATGAAAAACAACAAGTAGTCCATTTCTTTAAAGCATGGAGAAAGTCATAGGTTTGGAATGAGAGTGAAATATTATTTATTCTATAACTATTATTTAAAATTATTATTTAATATTTTATAAAATATTATGTAGTATTATTTAATATCATAATTTTATTTATTATTTGAATGAATGAATGTGATTTAAAATTATCCTTATTTATTATTTAATAAATCCTGTTTAATATTGTTATTTGTATTCGATAAAATATTGTGGAGATTTGGGGGATTAATAATGACTGATTGGTGTTTTTGGGTAAATGATTAATTATTTACTATTTTTGTATTATTTTATGCAACATTGTTTAGTATTATTTAATATAGTTATTTTGCAAATATTATTTATGTGATAAAATATTACTTAATGTTATCTTTGTTTATAGTTTTATCAATCTTATTTGATATTTATTTATTATTTTATTAAATATTATTTGGTATTATTTAATATAATTATTTTACAAATATTTTTTTATTTTGCATTATTTTATAAAATGTGTAATATTGCTTAATATTATCCTTATTTATTTTATAAATCTTATTTACATTTAGTCATTTAGCAGATTTAATATTGAATTATTTAAAAAATTATACTATTTAATATTTTTTATTATTTTATAAAATATAATTTGATATTAATTATAATATTATACAAATAAATATAAATATTATATATAATATTATACAGAGTTTAAAATAATCAGAGGCGGACAGTAGTGAAGTATTTTTACTCTGCTTTAAAAGTAAAAAATTTTTACTTTAGAAAACATTTACTTCACATTTCACATTAAATATAATTAATACTTAATTGCATTAGAAATCTAGTACTTTCTTACTTTTACTCAAGCAAAAGTAATTCAAAGTTTTACTTGAGTACGAGAAAGTGCCACATTTTTAATGTTCTGAAGTATTAAAGATAAAAAAACACAACTTTTATTTATGAAATGTAGTGCAGTAAAAAGTACAACATAATATGCTTTGAAGTAAAAGCTTTCCAAAGAAAAACACTCTACAGATAAACTAGATACTTTTTAAATATACTTGAGTAATGTAAACATACTTCACTACTGTACATAAAACCGAGCAAATAAAGTGTAATGATACAGTATTCTTCCACCAAACAATGTAGCGCCTCAGAAACAGTTGTGGTTGCTACAAAGTACAGAAGTTAACAAAGCTGTGTGTTACTTTGTAGCGTCATTTACAACAGCTTCGAACGCGGCTCAGCCAATCAGAGCCAAGCACCGGAGCTCTCCGCTTTATAATGACATTTAATCGTTTAATATTTTTCCTTGATGTCTGATGAGTTAATGATGACTGGTGTGTGTTTTGAGGACAGCAGCAGTAATAAATCCGTGTGTTTTATCTGGCAGCTGTGAGGTGCGTCCCGGTCCGGAGTTCCTCACTCGCTCCTACCGTTTCTTGCTCAACAACACGTTTAAGGCGCTTCAGTTCTACTACGCAGACAACCACTGCTCCACGCCGAGCTACAGTGTGCAGGTGCAGGGCCGTCTGCGTCTGCGCCAGCCGTCCTGGATCGTCCGAGGCGGCACCGAGGCCGACTATCAGATCCACAGCATGCGTCTGGTGTGTCACTCGGCGTCTGCGGCCCGAGAGCTCGGCTGCGCTTCTTGGCAGCCCAACATCAGCTGTGAGCTGTGGAGCGTCTGCGGCTGCGTCTGCGGGTGTGCACTGAACGTCTCCATGCACGAGCTGCAGCTGCTGCGGCTGGAGAAGCAGTATCTGCATCACAGTCTGGATCAGCTGCTGGAGGAGCTTTATCTGGGAGACATTCACACCGAAGCGGCGCAGAGGATGCTCTACAGGCCCTCCAGCTACCAGCCCGCGCTGCAGAACACACAGGTGACAGCATCACATGCTCTGCTTTCCTGAGCCTGCTCTGAAACCATATGTGACCCAAAACCAGTCACAAGGGTCACTTTTTTGAAATTGAGATTTATGCATTATTTATAAATCAGCTTTGCATTGATGTATGGTTTGTTAGGATCGGACAATATTTGAACATCTGGAATCTGAGGGTGCAAAAAAATCTAAATATTGAGAAAATTGCAACAAAATGAAGTTCTTAGCAATGCATGTTAATAATCAAAAATTAAGTTTTGATATATTTACAGTAGGAGATTTACAAAATATTTTCATGGAACATGATCTTTACTTAATATCCTAATGATTTTTGGCATAAAAGAGAAATGTATAATTGTGACCCATACAATGTATTGTTGGCTATTGCTACAAATATCCCCCAGCGACTTAACACTGCTTCTGTGCTGCAGGGACACATATGAAGTATTTTATATGCACTTTTTTAAGTGATATGGGATTTTGAAAGGCAGATGCAGATTTCTGAG